CCGCGGGCTCAGGCAATCCACTCACCTCAGCCTCCCAAAGCGCAGGATTACAGGCTGAGCCACCAAGCCCGGCAGTAAACCCCTTTTAATAAATGCTCAAAGAAAGAGAAGTCAGAGGCCTATGTCAGGTGTTGGCTAGAGCAAACAATACATTTTCCTGGCAGTGTTGAGCTTTCTCAGACTGGCTTTTTAATGGAAGACCATACTAAGAATAGGGTTCTAGCCGGGCTCAGTGGCTCAGCCTGTAATCCCGCGCTTTTGGGAGGCTGAGGTGAGAAGATTGCCTGAGCCCGCGGGTTCGAGACCCGCCTGGGCAGTGAGATCTCATCTCTACCATAAATCAAAAAATCAGCCGGGCCTGGTAGCACGCACTTGTAGTTCCAGCTACTTGGAAGGCTGAGGCGGAAGGATCGCCGGAGCCCAGCAGGTAGAGGCTGCGGTGTCCGGGAGCAGCCACTGCACTCCAGTCTGGGCAACAAAGTGAGACTCCAACTCAAAAAAAAAAAAAAAAAGAATAGGGTTCTAAAGTCATCTTAAGAACACGGATTTGTGCTGCTAGGATCCGTGTTAGAGTCTGGTCAGGTCTCCTAGTGAAGGAGTTATATGTGAAGAGTTCTGAAGTTCTCAGTTGATTCAAGAATATATTTAAATTAGGAAACCAAGGCAAAGGCATTGTCTTAAAAAGCGGTAAGATTTAGAGGCTCATTCATATCAGGAGCAATGGGGAGGAGCATTGAGAGGGTAGACAGAACTCTTCCAAATTCCAACTCCTGGAGAAGATGGGATACCTAACCCTTGCCCACCTTACTCTGGATGGGTGTGTTAGCTGTGGATTTCAACCTCCAAAAACTGTGGCTAAGCAAGGCAGTGACTAATAAAAAATATTCTAAGCAGATGTCTTTAATCAAATACATAGCATCTGAACAAATGTGTTCAATGATAGCGATGCTTAGAGTGAGAAGGTACTCAGAGCCAAAATTAAACAAAATAAATAGGATTCAACCTTTCTAAGCACGAGCCTTCACTCTGGTCCTTCCCCCGTTCCTCTCTTCTGTCTACATTCTTGTATCTCTATATCAACTATTCCTCCATATTGCCTTCCAGCCTGTGGGACATAATGATCCTCACCCAAGGGCCATCGAAGAACCATAGCCCATCTCTCCCAAATGACTACTGTTTCTAGTTGCTTTGAGAACCCAGGGGTTGGGCTTTCCCTGTTCTCTTCCCCTTATATTATTAGTATGACTTCTTCGCAAACAGGTGAGCTCCATTGTGGTGAGCTCTCATAGTGAATCAGAAAATACTTGCATCTCAGTTCTTCCTGATTGTTCTCAGTGCACAGTTCACGAGATGGAAGCCATGAAGATGCTATGCCAGAGTTTCCGGGAACATTTAGAGGAAATGGAACAGCACCTCACAAGACAGCAGGCACTCTTTTCCAGGGACATGTCCGAGGAGGAAAGGTAATTATCTAAGGGAGCCATAAAAGTAAGTACCAGCCCACACACCTGGAGCAAGGAAGGTAATCAGGGCAGGACAGATGAGCACCCTGGAGCAGGGCTAATGCGAAAATCTGGCCATCTTTTCCTTTGCTTTCACAGTCTTGTTCTTGCTTCCTCAGCGGGAGTCTATGAGATCCATTTGCTAGATAGAAACACTTATTCTTGAAGGCTGCAGCTATTTGAGAAGGTCAGAAGACTGGCAGCCAGAGGTGTTGCCAGCAGGATGTCTTTAACCAATGTGAATGGGGCTCATGCAAATGCAAATGTTGGGAGGTAATCGAGTTGTGAAAAATCTGCATTACTTTCACATAGATTAAAAATATGTCCTGAAAGTAAGTGGATTAGTCCTTTATTACCTGGGGTTAGGGAATAGGAATCAGATTTAACTGTAAAGGGACATGAGGGTGCTTACCGGGGAAACAGAAGAGTTCTATAACTGGATGGTGCTGATGATTACATAACTCAGTAAATTTATTAAAAATCATTGAGTTTTACTCATAAGTTTATTAAAAATTTGTAATCATTGAGTTGTACAGGGGAAATTTATAATATGTAAATTATGCTACAATAGTGTTGTTTCTTTAAAAAAGAGGACAATCTGCCCAGGTAATATATCTATGTCTGCAGCTGAGACAAACAAGGTGATAGTCTCTCTTAAGAAATTCAAAGGAAGAACCTATATTATGAGAGGGACAATGGAAGATTGCACTGGGGTGATTGCTAACTTTGATTGTTTTCTTTTATTTGCCTGCAGGGAGGAGGCTGAGCAACTGCAAACTTTACGTGAGGCCCTGAGGCAGCAGGTGGCAGAGTTGGAGTTCCAGTTAGGAGACCGGGCTCAGCAAATCAGAGAGGAGATCCTACTGGTACGAGGAATGGAATGTGGAGTTGGACTGTGCCCAGCCTATATAGGAAGGGTGCACTCAATGAGAAACTTGATTGTGCAATCATTTCAGAGTTCAAAACCATGCACCAACGCCTTCATTTTAAGTATTCAGAGAAGTACCTTGGTTTGCTCCAGGGCACACAGCTAGCTGATGGGGATTCAGTTCACCAACTACCATACCAATCTTCCCCCAGCACCTTAAATAAGAGAGAAAGTACTATTAGCCCACTTTCCAAACAAGAACTAGAATCCCAGGCTTGGTGAAGCTTACCTTTGCAGCTTGTATGGGCTAAGTCACTGTCAGAGTCTGCTGCTGACTCAAAGGGCCCATTCCATTGAATTTGCTGCCTTATAATGCCTTGGCCCCAAGTCTGAGTTAGGTATTTGGCACAAATATGACCTGTTGACCACTCTTTTTTGTTCTTGTTTTACTTTTAGCAGCTGGAGCTTCTCACATCAGAACCACCTGAACACTGTACAAATCTGCATCAACATAACTGGACAGAAGAAAATAATTGCCAAATTTCATGTGCTAAAATCCACCCAGCCATGGCCCCAGAAGCTGTCTTTCCTCACAACAATGGCCAGCAGGCTCCCTGCTCAGATGGGACCCAGGTGGCTGCCTTCACTCCACCCACCTTGGAGAACGGTCTCCTTCATCACCAGATAGGGTAATTAGGTCCACCCCCTCCATCAAATTGTCTTGTTGGAGAAGAGGATACACATGTCTTCCTCTAGATCAGAGCAGGTTTGATAAACTTCATACACCATGTAAGAGCCCAGACCAGCTGAGGCAAGAAAATCTCAATTTCCCCAAGGTGTTCTACACAGCTATATTTTTAATATTCTACCCTGTGGTTAAACCCAGAAGGAACTCAGGATATTTTAATTCTCATTAAATATAATTTAAAAGAATCAAGCACCTAGTATGTGCCTGGGTATACAATGATGGCTAAATCGTATATGGTCTCTGCCCTGTTGGAACTTACAGTCTAGTGGGGGAGACTGAATTTAAACACATGAATTTATCATTCAAACCAGTGAAAGTGCCTTGAAGGAGATAATGAGGTTTTATGAAAGAGAACACAGAAAGTCTGATTTAGATAAAGTGTCAGGAGGGCCTGGTGGAGGGAGTGACTGGAGAACAGGCCTCAGAGGCACCAGGCTGCCCACAAGCCTTGAGTCAGGCAGTCAGAGCATATTGATGAAGGACCTTCTGTTTGCCAGGAACTCTTCTAGTGCTGGAAACAGCTGCGCACAAGACAGAAAGAATTTCTACTCATAAAGATTTGGATGAAGAGTAAGATCCCCAGAAAACACAACAAACAAAAATAAGATCATTTCATTCCTGACAAGTGCCATGGGGAAGACAGGGTGATAATACTGCAGAGGGCAATATGAGAAATGTCCTACATTAGTTAGAGTGCTTGGGGAGGCCTTGCTGAAGGGAGGTTGTTTGGCTAAGACTTAATGCTCAGGAAGAGGACACCATGTGCATTTCTGGGAAAGAACATTTGAAGCAGAAGGAGCGGAAAGTGTACAGGCCTCAAAACATAGAAGTAGCCAGTGTTGCTGGGTGATGAGGGTGGAGGGATAAGAAGTCTGAGAGGGGGGCCAGGCTGACTATAGGCATGGCCAGGAGTCCAAGAGCCTGGATTCCTTTTCCAAGAGTAGTAGAAAGCCACTGTAGGCTTTAAACAGGGTTGTCATATGATTCGATTTACATTTTTAAATGACACTGGCTGCCTTACAGAGAAGGTACCATGGAGGTCTACAACAAGGCAGATCTCTCAGTCTGGAGGCTGCTGCCGTAATCCCCGAGGTGGGAAGCAAAAGCTGTCAAGTTTCTTCCATCCAGCTGTGGAAGCTTGTGAGGCTCCCACCCCATAAAAATGCAGGGAGTTGCACACACAGGCCAGAGGCACTGGGTCTCTAAGGAACAGGGAGTAGATGATGACTGAAATGTCAAGAAATACCAAATGGAAAAGTAGTACTGCGAAGAAAGCTTATTATTTGAGAAGATGGGTAAGCAGAGGTCACTTGCTAGCAAAGAGCCCAAGAAATTACTCCTTTTGAAACTTCCCACTGCCAGAACAAATCTCATAGCCTGTTTTCGTTCTCCATCCTCTTTGCCTTTTAGAAAGGCTTTGACTCAGTTAAGCCCTTGGAACCATCCTACCATTTCCTCCACCAGATGTCTTCCTCCAAGTATGGATGTCCCCATTCTGTCATGAATTCTCTTCTCTCTCCATTGTACCTTCCTCCTCCTTCTCCTTCTTCTTCTCTGTCTCTCTCTTTCTCTCTCTCTCTCCCCACCTCCCCCTCTCCAGACAGCTATACCCCTGATGCCCAGTTCTTTCCAGAATCCCAGTCCTGCATCTTCTATTGCCCACTGGACATTTTCACCTGGAAGACTTGCCTGTATGTGTCACTCTGTATCTGAAACTGATTTGATTGTTGCCCCAAATCATTTCACCTTCCTGATCTCTCTGTCAGTAGCACAGCCTTTCCCCTTGCTGTGGAGGCTCGGAGGCACAAGTTTGCACTGTTTCCCCCATGACTTTCCACTTTGATCCCTTAGGGAATCAGTCAATAACCACATCAGTGCTGAGTCTACTGCCACACGCAGTTTCTTGAAGTCCCTTCGGACTAGAGACAGCACAATGCAGGCAACTCCTAACTGCCTCCCAGCCCTCTTCTCTCTGAACCACACTGATCTCTGTGAAGCTAGGCTCCCTCAGGCACCACAAGGGGCATAGTTCCCTGACCTAGGGTGAGAAGCCAGGAGGTGCTTTTAAGATACCCAGAAAATGAGAGAGATATTACAGGATCACACTTTCCTGAGCAGTCTTCCACCCAAAATAAAACTCAGGCCCTGGAGTTATTACTCCTCTCTCCTTCCCTATCACTGGCTCATTTCCCTTCTTGGCATCCCCATTTGGGCTCCTACATCATGGTTCAGCTTCTACCAAATTGACTCCTGATATATTGCATTCATACCAGCCCAATTGCTTTCCTTTCTAAACTCCTTAAACTCTGTTTTCCTTACCTGAGTCTGACTTTTGACCTCCCTTCTCCATGTAGACTTTGAGCTTGCCTGTGGTTTCTGCTTCGTTCCTTCCGCCTAACACCTGCTGAATGAAGAGGAACACCTGGCTCTGGGCCCTCCCTAACCTGGCAGCCATCTGCCTTATAAATCTCATATCCTACCTTGCCCTCAAACAAATCTTAAATTCTATTTCCCAAAGCCACCTTGTACTTTCCTGCTTCCTTTGTAATATGCATGAAATATCTCTACAGTAAGTCCTGAGGCAGACTGCATCTCTTGCACAAACTTTCTTTGATGATCTGTGAATGAAGCAATCCCTATTTTTTGGAAAACTCCTATATTACTTTGTATTTGTATTAGGGCATTTATAGCCTACCACCATGTGCTTCTATTATCTGTGTAGATCATATCTTCTCATTAGTCTTAAAGCTGTTTGAGGACTGTGTAGCACCTTCTACTATCAGACTGAAAGAACAGGCTCCCTCCTTTACCACGTGTGACCTTAGGCACTTGCTTTCTTTGCCCTGGTTTCTTCCTCTATAAAATAGGGATAAGAAAAGCAACATAGAGTTGTTGGACAAAATAAATAAATCCCATGCAGTGTTTAATCTGGTGCCTATCACATAGTAAATTTCAATGTATGTTTGCTATTATTACAAGTGTGCATACCAAAAATTCAATAAATGTAAGCTATAATTATTGTCTTCCTTCTGTTGAATTCTGTGAGCAAAATACTTCATACACAAAGAATATTAACAAATGTTTGATGAATGAATGAGATGGGAATACATTAGCAGTCTCAGGAGACAGTGAAGAGATTGATCTGACTATGGCAGAAGTATTATTTTAGGTTGTAGTAGGAGATAAGTTTAAATTTTAATATGGAGTTTATGGATGGATTTGACAGTTAGATAGATGACATATGTGATGGAGGAGGAAGAAGACCATTCATTACTTTCAGATAAAGAGGAGCATATAGAATCCCCCCAAATCTCCAAACATTCTATGGTATTTCCTGATTCTGCCACAAAGAGCATAAAAGGGGAACCAAAATCTAGAGAGGCTACCCCATCCCACCCAAAATCTTTGCTGTCTTCAGTGCATGATGAATTGATTGTTGATTCTAATTCCAAATACCCACCCCTCCCAAATTTCAGATATTCAGAATCAGACTAAATTACACCATCAGCTTTCCCAGTTTGTGTAAGTCTCTCTCTCTCTACACACACACACACACACACACACACATTCATGCATGCATACACATCTATTAGTTCTGTTTCTCTGGAAAACCCTAATGCAGTGAGAAAGAGCTAAGATACAGAGAGATTGACTTACAGAGGTATACACTGAGTTCTGCAATTTATTATTAATAATGAGTAACTGAGCTCTGGGGCTAAATCCAGGTTTGGTGCTTAAATCCGACTCCGAACCTATTATTTGTGCTGGAGAAACTATTTAACCTCTCTGAGCCTCAGTGTTCAGAGCTAATGCAAATATAGCCCTTTAGAGGAAGCCTGGAACATGGTTGGGGCACAGTAAATGGTATTGTTCATGGTTAGAGTGATGATGTGCATAACAAGAGTAGATGCAATTTATTGACTATCTACCTACAGGCAGAGTACTGGACTAAGCACTTTATGTACATTATTATGTGTCTTCACAATTGTCCTGGAAGATAGGAATTACTCCACACACACACATACTCAAAAAGACTATAAATTGTCTAAGGTCTGGCAATGAGTGAGTGGTTGAATTGATTCTCTGATTTCCTGATTTGTTAAACCAGTGTTTCATCATTAATGGTTTGCCAAGACTTGGAGCATATGCAGAGCTCACTGATGGGTCCAAATCAACCAGAATAGCCTGCTTCTGCCTGCATTGTGCATTGGGCATTAGCAGAAATTTTTCTTTAAAAAAAGATCTCAGCTGGGCGCAGTGGCTCACACCTGTAATCCCAGAACTTTGGGAGGCAGAGGTGAGAGAATTGGCTCAGCCCAGGGGTTCGAGACCAGGCTGGGCAACTTGGTGAGACCTCGTCTCTACAATAAACCAAAAAATTAGCTGGGAATAGTGGCGCACACCTACAGTCCAAGCTACTTGGAAAGCTGAGGTGGAAAGATCACCTGAACCCAGCAAGTCAAAGCTGTAGTGTCCTTGAGAGTGCCATTGCACTCCAGCCTGGGTGACAGAGTGAGAATCCTGCTCCAAAAAAAATCTCATTGCTATAGAAAAGTTTGGAAAACACTGTACTGTGCTAATCACATCTTACTCTTACAGTCAGGTTTAGGTTCTTAGTCCCTTTCATACCAGGAGATGACTTCTACCACAGAGGAATCCTCCTGAACCTACTATCCTAGCAACAATTAATTTACCACCACTTACCCCACTACCAAGAATATTAGCAAGGGTCCTTTTGCAGTCCCTGAATAATTATCTGGGAAATCTCCCTATTCTATCATCAAGTCCCAAGATCCTATATTCTCTTTTTTACTCTTATACATTGACCATACTCGAGTTGACTATATTCAGGAAAATCCAAATCACATATTTGGAAACAGAATATCATTGCAATGAATATTTGCAGAAAGTTAACATAGCAAACCTTTTAATTTTGAAACCAAACTCTTGGTTGGAGTCACTGCATTTATATGAAAAGGAAGAAAAAAGTAAAATCACACTACCTGCTCATGCTCAAATTTAGAAATTGGCCAGGGAACAATTTGGTCTCTTCTCCATCAAGTACAAGGATTCTTATTCGTATTAATTTCATTCCATCCAGATTCTATTTCAGTATTCAGAGCCAAAAGCTTTGCATAGCGAAGACTGATTTGACAAACAATACTTGGAAACTCAAGTCACATCTTTTCCTTGGTTTTGTTATGCATGAGTGAAGACCCAAGTTGCATCATGAAGACAAAAAGATGAAACCTGAAGGTTGCTCTGAACCACAGCATATGTGTGGGCCATGTCGATTTGCGTAAGGCAATTCACAGAAAAACATTCCTCAGAAAAGTGTCTCATTAGATTTTGTTTATTTAACAGATATTCTCTTATACGTGAATTTTTGTCTGCAGAGCCAGACCACTTTTTTTTTCTTCAAAATGAAATAATTCTGCTAAAGATGAAAAAAAAAATCAAAGGATTTTCTAATGACATGAGAATCTGGTCTATTGTAATATTTTTTTTCTTTGTTGAGAAATGAAGCCGTTTCCATGGTGCAGCACTAGTCAAACAAAATAGAACATTTGTAAAGAGGTTAAAAGATAAAAGTAGTTTCCCTTTGAGAATAAAAAGTTTCAGAGTATTTTCATGGAATGATGGGCTGCATGTATAAGTTTGAATTGTAATTTAAAAGGCAAATGGCAGCCATATAATTTGCAAGTTTTGTAGGTAATTAAAAATGATTCAAATGGTCTTTCCTGAAACTTGAGAGAACAGAAATAGGAGCCAAAATATGGATGGCATGTTTATGTGACCCAGACTCAGTCTCTAATTGTCCAGTTTTAAAACATTAACAGACTAGAGGTTGACAGGGGATTCTCCCTCTCAGAATCCATCCCCAGTTAGGCAAATAAAGACTCCTTCACATCAAGAATGATATTTCTTAAATACTTTAAGAACTCAATGCCACCTAACACTGCTAATTCCCTCTAAAACTCAGAACCAATCCTTATCTGATTCATTCACCTAGAAAACAAAAGTGAAAGAAGCCATTTCCTAAATGTATATCAATTTCTTCATTTTGATGATCGTGTAGCAATTTCTTGTTTGCTAATGACAATGTCCCAGAGTCACAAGACATCGATGTTTTCTTTTTAAAAACTGAAAGTATTTGGGGTTACTTTATAACTGTGAAGATGGTAAGATTTAAGAAATATAATCAGAGTCTAGTATTTTTTTCTCCAAAACTAAGTAGATAGATGATTAGATAGATAGATAGACAGACAGATGATAGACAGTGTTGTTTCTACTTTGGATCAGTCTATATTCTTCTAGATGGATAGGCATTTACCAAATGAATTACTTTGTTAGTAATTTCTATAAATAAAAAAAAACTTCTATTTTATATCACCGACTAATAGTTTTCTTGAACTATTGAAAGCTGATGAACCTTGTGAACTTCACATTAATATTGATGCATTGGAAGAGAAAATTTTCTGTCTTGGTCAGTGACACCATTCTCATTCCTGCCCAGTCTCATCACTTACCTGTTTGTCCTACAGAGCCCCAAGCTCCACCAAACCCCTCTGCTGCTGCTTCTCCCGATGAAGGCTCCAGTGCTAGGTAGTGAAAAGGATCTACTAGGTTAGTTGTTCAGTACTTGCTCACTGTATGTGTATACTTTAGTATTTTGTTTTAGAATACAATTTTCTACTCTCCATTTAATCTGAATACATATAGAGCCATGAGTCATACATTTGTTTTCTCTGAAAACTCCTTATTAAAATAGGAATATTCTTTGAAATCTAGAATGTTTCCTTTCTTGTGGTTTTGTGGTCTGCTTTCTGAAAAGTTGTACATTGCAAGAATTATTTGTGTGGCCATTTATAAAACATTCAAGTCATTTAGAACTACAGTAGATACTTCCAACTCTATCTTTTATATCTTTGTAGCTTTCATAACATCTGATAACTCATCTCTACATAAATCAAAAAATTAGCCAGGCATGGTGGTGCATGCCTATAGTTCCAGCTACTTGGAAGAAAGCTAAAGTGGAAGGATTGCCTGAACCCAGCACATCGAGGCTGTGGTGGCCATGAGTGTACTACTGTACTCCAGCCTGGGCAACAGAGTGAGAATCTAACTCAAAAAAAAAAAAGTTGGATATATACAGCCCAACTCTTATCTCTAAAAAACTATATTAACTTGGGCAAATTACTTAATCTCTCTGAGTCTATGGTTCCTCACCTATGTAAAAAACAAACAAACAAATAAAATCCCACAAAAGAAAAGCCCCAGTTATGCTAGTATCTACCCCAAAGTAATGGTAGGAAGAGTTTTCTCCGGTGGAGTACTGGCTTCAGAATATCCTGTCCAGGGATGTGGGAGCTGGAGTAGTTATTTAATTCTCACTAGTCATTGTTCGAAAGCTCCTCCAGTAGTAGCAATTTCCCAGTACAATCAGATTGTTCTCTGTGCAGGAAGAGCTGAGTCCAGCCTTTAATCTGTACTGTAAGAACTAGCAGTTAGAAATCAGGTTAGAGTGAAAAAAACCAAGTTCTCCAATAACCAAACTACTTAAAGTTGCACAAATGCACCAACAAACCATTGCAAGTTGTGTTTATGCTTCTCCCTGTTATTAGAGTGCTTACCTTACTGACTAAATTAACTTCTCTACCCATTTGAATACACCCTTGAAGACTCAAGTCAATCAGTCTCTTCTTGCAATCATACTTGGTCCCCCCCTCCGTTTATCCAAACGGAGTGGGAGCTACCTGCTCATTTATGTTTCCAGGATAGCATACATATGTGGACTCCTACCTTAACCCCAAAGTCAACATGGCATTTAATTGCCCACATTTCCACCTTCCTCTGAACTTCAGGGTAACTTTTTTGAAGGGAGTGGATTAATTTTTGACTTCTTGTATCACTTGTACCTAGTACTATATATAGATCATGGTAGGTTCATACGGTGAAAAAATACACTTTATATTTCCAGATCTCATCCCAGTACTAAATTCTTGAATGATTTT